TTACCTCCTCCTGCTGCTTCCTCCTCTGCCTCATGTGTGAAGGTCCCTCCCCCCCCCACGAGTATCGCGGGTCCGCCCCTTGTAGTCACTAACATCAAAGCCAAGACCACTTCCACCAGCTCATGCAGAAAGCCAGTTAGTTACTGACCACTCCACTGCCCAGTAGACCCTATTCTGTCCAATGCACGTATCAATGGGTACAAACTCTCAAAAACACAACTCTGACAAACAGTGGTCTTGGAAAGAGATGGGACACATATATACCATGGCAACTTCTCTCCCAGTATCACAGCCATGCCTATGCCATATCAACAATCCAGGAGGATATGATTTAGAAAAGTATTTCTTGTCCAGCTAGGGCTTGGTAATGCAAGGCAGGTCAGCACTCTCATCCAGGATGAAACTATATTCTCATGGACTAACTTGTTGCAACAGCATCTATACACTTAATGGGCCATTGACAAGTTGATCAGGAAATCCTTGGTTAGGAGAGAGGTCTAAAGAGGGGATAACTCAGAGATCTAACTTCTCTTTGCTTAGCTGGCTTGGGTTTCTCACCTACCAAACCTTCCACTGCTTGTCACTACTTCTGTTATAACACTATGCATGAGGTGAGGCGTACGCTGAGGGCTGTAAATCCGAGGAAAGCGGCTGGACCTGATGGCATTACGGGATGGGTGTTGAAAGAGGGTGCTGACCAGTTGACAGGGGTCTTTACTAAGATCTTCAACCGGTCCTTACACCAGTCTATTGTTCCGTCTTGCCTAAAGTCCTCAATTATTGTTCCCCTGCCCAAAAAATCCACAATCAGCAGTCTAAAGGATTATAGACCAGTTGCACTCACTCCAATTGTGATGAAGTGTTTTGAGAAATTGGTACGTAGTCACATCGTCTCATGTATTCCATCTACACTGGATAGTCACCAGTTTGCATATAAGGCAAACAGATCCACAGAGGATGCCATCAACACTACTCTGCATACTGCTCTGTCACATCTGGAGCAGCCGGGGAGTTATGTGAGGCTGTTGTTTGTGGATTTCAGTTCTGCCTTTAATACCATCCTCCCAGATAGATTAGTGTCCAAATTGGAGGGCCTTGGACTCTCCAGCTCCATATGTTTCTGGATTTTGAACTTTTTGACAGCCCGCCCCCAGAGGGTTAGAGTAGGGTCCTATATGTCCACAGCCCTTACCCTTAATACCGGTTCTCCACAAGGCTGTGTATTGAGCCCCTTGCTCTATACCCTCTACACACAGGATTGTACCCCCACCCACCCCAGTAACACCATCATCAAGTTTGCTGATGACACCACTGTGGTGGGGCTCATCTCTGGGAATGATGAGTCTGCTTATCGGGACGAGGTGGAACGGCTTTGTGTTTGGTGCAGGGAAAATAATTTGATCCTCAACACCACCAAAACCAAGGAATTGGTAGTGGACTATAGGAGGAACAAAACGGACATCCAGCCACTGTTTATTGGTGGAGAACGTGTGGAGAGGGTGGCTACTTTTAAGTTTTTGGGAGTGATTATTGAGCAAAACTTGACCTGGAGCGCTAACACCACTGCTCTGGTGAAGAAGGCCCAGCAGAGGCTCTTTTTTCTCAGACTTTTAAAGAAAAATAACTTGAGTGAGAAAATACTGATGTCTTTCTATCGTTGCTCAATAGAGAGCATTTTAACATACTGCGTCTGTGCCTGGTTTGCCAGCTGTACGGCTGTGGAGAGGAAAGCACTCCAGAGAGTTATCATCACAGCCCAGAAGATTATTGGCTGTCCTCTCCCACTCATGGAGGAATTGTATAGTTCTCGATGCTTGAAAAAAGCAAAGAACATTTTGCAGGATTTGTCACACCCTGAACACTCCCTGTTTGAACTGCTGCCTTCGGGTAGAAGATATAGGACAATATTGTTGTTATTATTATTATTATTATTATTATTATTATTATTATTATTATTATTATTATTATTATTATTTTGTGACAGAAACATAGAGAATTGATGCAGAGCAGAAGAACGCCCAACTCAAAATAAGAACTTCCAAAAGGATACAACACTCATTTCCATGCAGCCCAAAACTCAAGTGACTCCCATTAGCTGTGCAGTTTTCATTTGACACAGGATACTCTCTGAACTCTTATGTGGGAAGCTTCTCATTCCCTTATGTCAAAAGGTAACAACTGAATCAACCTGAACCTTCTACTATAAAAGTAACAAAATTAGGAATGCCCTTGGACAGCCACAATAGACAAGATTTGGTAGCAAGATGTCAAAGTTACGCCCTGCCCCGTCCCCAACCACTGTTGTTTCAGCTGCCGTTACCGCTTCTCCTGCTGGTACTAGGGCTGTGGCAGGCATGAAGAAAATAGCCTTTCCCCAGAAGTGGTCTGCTACACTTGTGACCTAACAGCTGGATTGTTGAGTCTTAGAGGCAGATCATCATATCAGGAGATTGTCTAGAACATGTGTTCAACTCCCTCCTAGAGCAGCAGCAGTGGGGGGTGGGGGAAGAGTTGTCCAAGTTGTCCCTCAGCTTGTGTTGTTTTAGCTGGTGATATATTGGAGGCTGCTGCTGCTCCACTATAACACCATCACCAAAGCAATGTTTTGTAGCACTTCCAGGAAGAAAAGGTAGAACTGGACTAATAGGGTTGCTGCAAGTCTTTATATGTAGTAGTCTCTTCTTTCTAGTCAATTTCTAAATACAATCCAAAGTGCTTTTTTAAAATTATTTTTAAAATTTTAAAAAAGCAATAAACAGCCTGGGATCATGGTATCTAAAGGTCTGCTTTCTTTCCTCTGTACCTTTCAAT